AAGGTTTCACAAGATTCGAACGAATAAATTCCAACTGCCCAAACCCGGGCTTAACACATTTAACCTCACAAAGGAGAAAATTTAGCCGCGGATTAACTTCAAAATCCTGGATTATTCTCACAAAAGTCGCAATTCAATAATATATCTACCGGCTATGAGACTGGTCACTATTATAAAATTGAAAGAAATTAAATTTTATTGAAGGGTATAAATTAACAGCCAGACAAAAGTTTTTATAGATCCATTAATAGTTTCTAAAGTAGCTCTTAAAAAAACTAAATGTAGATATAAAAAATCTATATTCTTCAGTTTAGAAAAATATGTCGATTATCCGTAAATTCCCTAGATACCTGAGAAGGATTTCTCTCTTTTAAACAAATAAACAAATAAATAATCATCGCCCTAGCCACATTTTTTTTTGTCGGTTTGTGTGTCTTTAGAAACTTATTACATTTAGGCTTTAATCGTTCTTGTTAATCCTTGGGTAGAATAAGATATGAACCACGGTAAGTGGATAACCGGCTCGGCAATATCAGGGGGTGAGAGCAAAGTACAACTTCCAGTTCAATGATATTTGATGTGGGCTGACTTGAAATGTGAGGCCTTTTGTTTTCACGCTGGAGGAGCACTATTTGGCGGTTTCCCCAGCTCTTTTCTGGCCTGGAAAGCACGTACCTTCTTAAACTTAACTATAGGGAAGAATACTGACCATCGGGAACGTACTTTGAGCGAATGGGTAATTTCTACGAAATTCCAACAAACGAAGCTTCTTTCCCTCGGCAGCTTAATCCCTGTTTTTCTCTAAATGTTTAGTTTAACTATGTCGAGACATATACACCGTTTACCATACAATTTTCGTAATTATGTAATTATGATCACTCATTTTAATTTGTGTTTCATAATACAATCTTAAATCGGCCGATTTCCTTTTAGCAGTCAAAGAACTAAAAAATGTATATCTGTTTGAATAGACCAGCGGTTCCCCAACTTTTCAGTCTCCGGCGCCCATAATATATCAGGATTTTTTGCTGCGCCCCAAGTCAAAACAATGGTCTATCTGGGCGAAAACTGCAGTAAGTAGTAAGTACTAATAGTAGTAGTAATTCATTTCCAATTCAGAAATACATTGATATATCTAAACCTCTAATTTGGTTGCAAATTTATTTAGTAAATAATTAAAACGCCTGACTTTCTTATGAAATCGAAAAACTTGCCTTTTGAAAAGCCACTTAATAGCAAAAACATAAAAGAGAATTTTTTTGGAAAGAAATATTTGAAAATACTTAGGAGTCTAAGATTTTAGGTTTTATAAAGAAAGTTTAGTTTTTAGGTTTTTTATAAATGTAAAAATAATAATAATTTTTATAGAACATTTTCGCGGCGCACAGTTTAGAAATCACTGGAATAGACTAAAAGCAGAAATCTGACTGAGGGTGAATTACGATTTTTAAAAATAAAATTATGAAAAATGCGTTGATGTTTATTTGATTATTTGGTTCAAATAATAAGAATTTACCAAAACTGAATAACATTTGGGTTTGATTTAAACAGTGGTGAACTGAACATTTTACGGATTGGTTCCAATACAAATAATTGAAACACAAAGATTATTTTAAAAAGAAATATTTCACGCTTTTAAATAGCGTTAATGGTGTTGAAATTTTTTTTAATAAAAAGTAATTTTTGATTCACTTAAGCCGAGATATCTAATTAAACTCGAATTTTTTCATCGATAAAAATTATAAGCACCTGATAGTAGAATTATAATGTACAGGAATGACACGGTTTTATTAAACATGTAATGTCCCAGTTCAAGCTCAACGTTTTTCTACGAGGAATGTAGGGATGAATTGAAATCGGCTATTTCTGGTGTAGCATAATACGATCCTTTATCGATTGATTTGACGGGGTTATGTTCCACGTGTCAACAATTCCTCTTTAACGATCTAACGATCTTCACAATAAAACAATGTATTTTTGTGTATGTTTAATTTGCCGTACAGATGCGGGCGGTTATTTTGAAAAGTAACACTTGTTCTTCAACTGATGTTTAGGTACGTTAAAGATAAACGAAACACATTAGGCCCGTTGTTACTTCAAAGCTTATGAGACTATTTATAATTGGAACCATTTTTACTAACTATGTAGATCGAATTGATCAGTATAATCATAAGTATTTGTGTCTTTCTAAAGTGTAAATAATCTTTGAATTAAATCATGTCTTTGGTTAGTGATGAATGTTTACATCTGAGGCTGTATTTTAATTACGCAAACGTTTAGGAGATGATTAAAAACGGGATAATAGATTTATATGTAATTTGATACTTGAAAAATTAGATTCAATATCACTACATAGTTTTTATTTATTTCCTTCACGATATTCCATTGCTGACTATCTCTCAATCACAATCAGAGGCACAATCCTCCTTCTCACACACACACTCACTTTATTTCTCACTCTCTCTCGCTACTCTCTTCCTCTCTTTCTCTTCCTAAATCGCTTTCTCTCTCCCACTCTCTCTCTCTCTCTCTCTCTCTCTCTCTCTCTCTCTCTCTCTCTTACCCTCTCCCTCCTTCCCTCCCTNTCTCTTTTTCTCTCTCTCTCCCCCTCCCTCCCTCAATCACCTTCTATCTTTTTCTCCCCCTCTCATCACTTCTTTTTTCGTCTCACTCTACCTACACTACCTCTATTATTTTTTTACAACTTTATCCTCTCCAATCTAACGTTCTCAAGCTCGTCCTCACTGTACCTTTCATTTTTCTCTGTGTGTCATAACTTCTTTTTTTAACCCATTCACCAGAGGTTAACAATATTATTTTGTCATCAATATCAGTATCTACCCTCTGACAATGCGCTGTCTCTCTGACCCTCTCTCTCTCCTCTCACTCTCTCCCTCTCTCTCTCTCTCTCTTTCTCAATCTATCTATCTATCTGTCTTTAACTTTAGCTATCTAACTTACAGGTAATCTCTCATGACTACTTAAACTCAAAAATAGTAGTATAGCAGTTGTTGAGTGGATTATTTAATAATAATAATAATAACAATACATAAAACGTATTCTTGGGTGAATTGTTATTCCAAGCGTTATAACGACAAATCATGCAGGATAAATGTAAGATAATGATATATACTAAACTTCAGGTCTCACTTGCGTGTAATGCATCCAACTTATTATCTTGTCTTCACGACTTAATAGGACGAGGTTGGAAAACTACGATGGTAATGTTAACTAAAGTTTTTTAAAAATGTGTTACGTTAATGTAAGTATAGTGTAAACTATTATTTGTTGATATAATAAATCTGATATTAATGCTTTCTCACAGGCACACTATCTGTTTCTTTCTCTTTTTCCCTCTCTCTCCTCTCTTCTTCACTCTCACTCTCTCTCTCTCTCTCTCTCTCTCTCTCTCTCTCTCTCTCTCTCCCTCCCTCCTTCTCTCTACCGTCTCTTCCTTAATAATGAATTTATTCAGTTAAATATTTGAGATCAATTCAAATGATATTTCAAGCATAGACTGTTACTTAATTATAAAAAAAAAACTTTTTCTTCTCTGAACTCCTTCTTCTTTACACTTTAGGGTTGGTTGTTTTAAACATGTAAATAAAGGCTACGTGTTTAATACGTGAAGGTAATTTATACTCTGGTGTATAAATTTCATTCTGTCTTTCTAAAAAAATGTGTTTATGAGATGGATTACGAATGGCTAGGAAATGCTCCGCATTAATTTTGTTGTACGAGTTCAAACTGGGACAGAACGCTTCCGTCGCGTGCCAAAACAATAATTTAACCCCTAGGATAGTAGATTGAACAAAAGGGCGGTTTTATACGTAGTTTTAGAAATTATGATTAGGTAAATTCCACCTTCTGATTCATTGATACTACGTCTGTGAAAAGAATTGGGTTGAAAACTGACACAACTCATGTAAGGCGCCATATATTCGAAAAATTGGTTTGTCAGTAGAATATTGTAAATCTTTACCGTGATCAATTATTCCCAGTGTTAAATTATACACAATTAAAAGATTTAGCCCGTTTTTGTGTTTTTGAGGTCATAAACAAAGCCTAGATAGTTTGCAATAAAAAAATAAAGTAAGCCATTTAAATTTCATTTGAACATGAACTATGGTGGTGAGTTGTCAAGGCTATTAAATAAATAAATAAAACGTTTTTCACTAAACGATCAACAATGTGATACTTAAGAATGTAATGTTTATAAAACTCCCATGTGTGTTGTGTCTATCACATCTTTCTGATGACATGAGTTCTTCCCTGTTTATTAGAATCGTTTATAAATTGTGATGTCTCTTGGGTGGTCTTGGGTTTGTTGAACAATTGTCAACAGTTGGATTGTCCCAGAAAATGACGTCCTACTTCGTCTATTTTCGCCGTATATTTTGACCACGCGTGTCAACACTTCACCAATTGCCATTTTTCACTTAGAAAACTGTTGCAAAAACGACATGTAAGCTTTTCACGGCTAAATTTGAGTTAAAATGCATCAGTTAGCAATACTATCGAACTAAAAAATGTACATAATATTTAAATATTGACGATTAGGAAATTTAATGATCATTTATTTTTATTTCACATCATGAATAGTCGGATTAGTAAGGAATTAACGAGTTTTACACCACATTCCAGTGCAAATAATTAAATTAATTATTTTATTGTAACCAATGGCTACTTTAGAATGATTAGTTGAAATCAAATGGTGCTACAGACTGAATAAGTGATCTGAATCGAACATCTATTGTCAACTAAGCAATCATACGTGTAAAATATAATTTTGGGTTAAAACAATTTTGAAAACAAATAAATAAATGAAACTTTTTTATGTGATTTAACTATATTTGTTTGATTTTTTTAGTAATGATTCTTTTTTTAAATTGGGTTCTATGTTAAAATGATTGTACAAAATCTTCAATCCTCCAGAGTGGTGCCCTCTCACTAAGGACTCTCGGCTCGTATTTATTTAAAGTAATCAATTTGAGACTTACGTGACTGGCGAAATCACGTGCTTTCAAGGGCTGGAGAACGACGAAAGGACCTATCGACACTGTAAGGGCTCGCGAAAGCGACTGAAGCTTCGTCGAGTAGTGCGTGGAGGCAACCCGAAGGGAGTGAGTCCTATTCGGCTGGTAGGGCCGAGATCTGCCGACCAGGGCCGAACTTTGGGGAGGGTTCCGTTTTGTACTTTCCTATTGTTCGGACGGCTAGGGGTGGCAGTCTTTCACCCTGGCCTGAAACGTAGAAATGCGTTTCAGATATGGACCGTTCCGGTGGTGATTGACATAATATTTTCACACGTTGAACGAAGAATTCGCCCAATGCATAGCTTTGAAAACAGCTATACCTTTTCAACACTTGCATTAGAAATTGAAGAAATTTCTGTTAACAATAAAAATAAATTCTAAATAATAAATATCCTATCTTTTTACATCGAAGTGTAAAATTTCATTATTTTTCAAATTGAAACAGTGGATAATAACACATTTATACCACATAATTTTTTTGTTTTCAAAGTAAAGAAATCGCACATAATTTTTACTACACAGTGTTTCTCATTGCAAGCTTTATTTTTGTGGTTCAAAAATTTTTTTAACTTCGTATAACTTGGAAATGTTATTCAACAAAGTATAATTCGGTACAGTAGGAAACATAGTCCGGCGGATATTAAAAATTCCTTCAAACAATTAAGCTGGAATGAATGGCAAAACAGATGGAACGCCCTGAATGAAAAACTAAAGGTGCTAAAACTGACAGTCAAACCTTGGGTCCCTGAAATTCTCAGAAAGAAAGAAAGAATTGTACTTACACGATTAAGGATAGGCCATACCCGCCTAACACATGGACATCTCCTCATCGGCAAGAGACCGAGAAAATGCCCCATGTGCGGCGCAATTGTAACAGTAAGGCATATTTTAGAAGAATGCGAACAACTAGCGCCGCACAGAGCACGGTGTGGCCTTCCTAATGACATAACAAAAGTACTTAAGCACAACAGTGATTATAAACGGAAAGTCATTGATTACCTAAAATTAATCAATGCGTATAGCTATATATAACCCACCACACGTGGTAGATCCCTCCTATTTGTATGAATGTATTTATTTGCGTGAATGTCGAAGTATGCATGGGTGTGGCTGTGTCGGAATATCAAGTACCCACAGGCCCACCAAATTAGTCTAGATATGTTATATATTTGTAGTATGATGAGAGGGACGGGTCATTGGCATTTCGTTGGTACTATACTTCCGAAGTGTAGTGGCTTGTACAGAATGAATGTATTTATTAGCGTGAGAGGTGATGCGTGAAAGGACGTGGCTGTCGAGGAATATCGAGTACTCCACAGGCCCGTCAAACAATTTAAATTAGGATAGGTTAGTGTGTGAGTGGAAATTGTAAATACAGTTTGAACGTATTTATTAGTGTGAAAGACAGGAGGCCGCAAGATCACGATAATCTTCCGACCTCCAATTTAGTTGTAGTATAGGTTAGCAAATTAGTATGAATGTGAATTATGAAAATGTATAAATATTATATCTATGTATTTTAATATATCACGTGTGGGAGGGTAACAACAAACAAGATAACGAATCCCTTATTAGGTGAATTAGGTGAATCGGAAGGCAACAGTTAGTTGAGGCATAAGAAGACTCAGAAAAGAATATACACATAAGATAGATAAGAAGAAAACGCGAGGTTTATATGTGAGGCGCCGGCGATGACCCAGGTAGTTAGCCGGCAAAAAAAAAAAAAAAAAAAAAAAAAAATGTTATTTGTAGATAATTGGTCTTACAATTAATTAATATATATGTATAATAAAAATATATTTTTACATAGAAATATTTATTGCATTATTGCCTAGTGTACAGCTATTTCCTTGTCTTGTCTTTTGTATTTTTCTTTGTGCGTGTGTGTGGGGGGGGGGTTTGTTTGAGAAAGAGAGTGGAGAGAGAAAAAAAAGGAGAGAAAGGGAGATTTGAATTGAATTGAACAATTTCTTTACATAAATCTCATTACTCATTTCTAGCATTGATACATTCTTGATTAAGAGTTTTTATGTATATACAACATATATGTACATATATACATCATATATATAAACAATATATACAGACAATTTGTTAGGCATCAACGAATTTAGAATCAGTGATGTAAACAAATTTAACGTAAAATACACAATTTTTGTAAAAATGTCGTTTACATATATAAAATTAGTTGTATTATTATATATATAAACTATTATGTATAAAATTATATATGATAATATAACTATATATTATATACAATAATAATAATATATAATAAATAATATCTCATAATATAAACAGGGTGTCCCAGTTCTTTCTGTCGAAACTCAGGGAATCGATTCTACTCTTCGTTTGGAGCAAAAAATGCTCAGGAAAAATTTTTCGGAAAGTTCTCTATTTTGAAGATATTCGTCAATTTAGGTTTTTGCAACTTTTCACTACCTTACCACATAAAAACGCTTACAACTTCCAAAATGTTGAGACTACAACAAATGCAATTACACCATTTGAAAGAACGCTAAATTTGCTGTAAGATACTTCTATTTACAATAATCTGAATGACATAAAATGTTAGCCAATATCAGTTGGAACCTGTCAAAATTACAAAATTTAAAATTTTGGTCATGATTGCACGTTCTACTGAGGTTACACAACAATACCTACAACTTGTCAAATTTCACAAAAACTTCTTCATCTAATATGCTTTACGTTGATATATCGACGAATTTAAATAACGTTCTAGAAGAGTTGAAAAATCAACTATAGCGATAGAGATAGTGGATTTTTTCCTTGCACTTTGACAAGGAGCAATGAGAAGAAAAATATGACCGGTAGTGCTGACAGTTGGGGCTCTTCACATTTCAGTAACAAATGTGGGAAGCCCGCCCAGCATCAAATTTGCAAGTCAAAAATGTTACAGAAATTCCAAATGTAAATAGTCAATTACCACAACTATATTTTAACAAAACAAATGAGATTGCATGTCTTTAGCTGAAATTAACGGTATTCGTATTTCTTATGCTGCGTTTTTCTCTTCATTGTAAGAGAAAAGTAATACTAATTTTAGAATTATTTTAGTTTTTAATGTTGGAAGTTTTCGAACAGTTTTTCACTCCCGAAAACTCTGCATAGTTTTGATTAAAAAAAAGTAAATTCAGTTGTTACTGCCAAGCTTTCGACCTATTTAAAAGTCATCATCAGGGCGTATAATTTGACACTAAGAAAAACTATCGTTAAATTAATTGTACAAATATGGAAGAGATATTTAAACTTGCTTGTTAGGTTTGTACGTTGTCTGTTACTATCAGAAAGAAACTTTACAGTCATTCACTGACCACCATTTTCCTTAGAGCAAACAAACTTACTTAAAGTATTGAGAAGCAATATATACAAGAAAAGTTACAACTCAAAAAGCCGTAGTTTTTTAGGGGTAGTTTTGTGTTTTCGCTTAAATCTTAGATGGACGAAAGAAAATATTGATAGTTCATGATAGTTTTTATTGCCAACAACCATAGTGGCGTATAGTTAGTACATAAATTTAAAAAAAATAAACTTCCATTTGTCTCTCCTGTAAAATTATCTTGTTGAGTTGTGTCACTTTTCTTGCGGATGTGCGCTATGTTTTAAAATACATTAGAACATATCTGATCAGATTAGTTCACTCTCTGTCGTAATGCCGACATTAAAATATTATATGACCACACGTGTCGTCAACTTAATAGGGTCATAGAGCGCTTTAGGACTCGCCAAATCTGTAAAGATAAGGATGGCGTTTTCTATGGCCAAGCGACCATGCATCCTACTGGCAAGTAGTTTGCTTGAGCGTTGTAAATTATGAGGAAAATACTCGTTCGTAATTTCACTTACTTTCCTTTACGGAGAGATCTTAAGTATCAGAACCATGTGTACTTCTACCAGGTGACCTACTACCTTCGCAAATCTGTCTGCAAATTCAATTCTTCAGTTGGTACGACCTAAGAAAAAACTTAGGTTTGCGAATAATTTGTCTGTGAATTTTCTAATTCTTAAACTAACGGTTTCTTCATACTCCATCTTTAATACTCATAAATGGCAATGTATCTGGATAAACAGGTTTCTGTTCCAGTCACATCAAAGCCACCAATCGCCAACAACTCAGGTTTATAGTTTGAACAGCAATCAGCCAGTAGAAATTTTTCGTCAACTACGCTATCTTTTAAACGACGAACGCACTTCCAATGGCACCTTCAACCTGGCTTCTATTCGTGTTTGAAAGAAGTACAAAAAATATTATAGCCATTTCAATTCAGGAAGTATACACCTTTGGGAACGGGAGCATCCCGTTCAATTTTTGCCAAAGTCTTTTAAATTGCAGCAAGAATCACTTTCTTCGTAGAGCGATAACTTCTTTTTTGCCTTCAGTAAACAGTGAGCAGAAACGTAGGCTGTTTATCAAGTTTAAGAATAAAATCAGTTTTTGAAACTTGATTTGTTTAATACATTTACATCAGGCCAAATTTATTACTATATTGTATTCACTCATTTTCCTGGTCCGCTTGACTAATTAATATCTTTCAATTAAATAACTAAGGGTTTTAGTGGATCGCTCAAGTGGCAGAGTAGCAGCGTATCTAAACGAAGGTCGTGGGTTCGAATCCCGCTCGTGACACTGACTTTTTTATCTCAACTAAATCCCTTAATTAATTAATTGAAAGATAGTAATTGGTCAAGCGGACCAGGAAACTAGTGAATTTAATAAGTTTAAAATGAAGTATAACTTCACTAAAGATCTCCGTGGCCATTTCATTTGTCGCCGAGAATCAAATAGATTACTCGACATTTGAAAAATGGCAAAAAGGAGGGAAAATTCAAAAGGTGGGGTTGGGATGGGAAGTTGGTGATCGAGTGGATCCAGGTCACGATAGCTTAAGTGGTAGAGCAGCGGCGTATCTAGCGGAAGATCGTGGGTTCGAATCCCGCTCGTGACACTAACTTTTTTATTTAAAATAAAAACCTTAATTAATTAATATTGTATGTTTATTTCTCATAATGTAGAGATATTTAGGATAATTCATGCTGAAACATTTGAATATATTA